ACGTGTTTCATGATAATTGTTATATGTCTTGTTGTAGGATATCCTTATGCATGGCTATTTTCAAAATTTCAAAGGATTTCGTCAAAAAATAAGAAAGATATTGAGACTTTAGTTTCAGCCAATCAGAGCAAAGCGCACGTGCATGCGCGTGAGATCTTGCTATTTTGACCATGTCGTATTGTCTATGCTTCTAATATATCCTTATATTATAAGTTTCAAAGCATTTCATCAAAAATTTAAAAAGTTACGCCTATATCAATTAAATCGGTCATTTCACATGTTGCACGTGCACGCTCTTGCAAGCACGTGTACGCAAAATGACCTTCGTTCCGCAAATCTACATAACATGTCTACTGACCCTAAAAACATTTCACCTTAGTCGGATGTATAGTTTACGAGATCGTTCCCGGACAAAAAAGTACCCAGGAAGAAGAAGAAGAAGAAGAAAAATAATAATAAGAAGAAACAGAGTAAAAACAATATGTTCCCCAACTTCGTTTGGGGAACATAATAACTATTTCCCTACACTAAGAAATATCCCTGAATTTGCACCTTTTGAAAAAATAAAAAAAATAAGGACAAGACTGTGTCAATGTATGGAAAGTTTCAAAATTATTTATTTTTAATTAGAGTATTTTCTGTCGGACATAGTTCAGTTAGTACAACTTATATTACATATGGTTTTGTCCCCGAGTTGTATTTAGTTGTAAATCAATCATGCTTTATGGTCTTCAGTGCTCTTCAGAAAATCAGTCAACCTTCAATGCGTTTTGAGATATTCATCTGCAAAAGAAAACGAATGAGGTGTGTGTTTGCACTGAAAGTTACCTTGATATTAACTAGGTACAATGTAGCATTAATGTAAAATAGCATAACTATCATTCAAACAATATTTCCAAATAGCTGAATATTAGTAAGATCTGTCTAAATAAGGATTTTGTAGAGATAGAGATTGAGTCTAATGATGTGTTTAAGCTATTACAAGCTTATACGTAAATGAAAAAGAGTTTACTTGTACTGTCCTTATAGTTTATGTAGGTCTTATCAATTAAAATTCAATAGTGATCTTCCTTAGGCCATTGAAGTTCGAAATATAAAATTTTATTGCAAAAATGCAAAGGCTTTTTGAAAAATCGCGAGAAAATGAAAATGTTTGAGACAAACAGAAATATGAAAGTACGTACAGACAGAAAGACAAAGTATGTCAATGTCAAAGACAGACACAAATTAATTTCCCAAACTGTCAATGAAAGTGGTGGACAAAACTGTGTGTTTAAGGTAACATTGAGTCATCTGCGAGTACGATTGTTTATTTTACTTACAGCTAACTTTTGTGAAGAGTATTGAGTATATTTGTTTTGAATATTTTAAAATTAATTAAACGAGTTTGCATTATCTAAGATTTTTTTCTGGTCATCATTGATGGGATCTAACACATCACTGGAGTTGCTAAGCTTTCATCAGAATTGATATTTTAATGGAAATGTTTATTTCTTAAGCACAGTTTTAGAGTGATTTCTACATTTATCGAAATAAAATTTACCCTTTTTAACCGCACCGATGTCCTGGTATTGATGATCTTCTATCCTTGTGACGTCTTGCATTACGTAATCTTCATTTCTAATGACATAAATATGTTGTTAAAAGTGAGATCATATTAAAATGATAAACAAATTACATGTTTTTTAAAAGAATGACTCACACAGGTCTTTTGAAACAGCATGTATCTGAAAATAATAGATAAATACAATAATTAAAACATTTGAAAGCGTAAAAGTTTTAGAATCTGAACATATTAAGAGTATTCTTGCCTTTTCCATCATATCTCCTATTGAGGATGATAAAAAATACAAGTCCAACACAGACGACGAAGAAAACAGTGGAGATTGATGTCAATGCAGGAAAAAGGGCGGAGGACACTAGAAATAATTCATTTACATATTCTATATACATTTTTTTGGTTAATTCTATGTTGTTTAAAAATTAACAATTTGTGTAATGATGAAACCCTAAGCTTTTAATCTGTATTTTGCAAGACTATATGTACAACCTTTTGAAGAAGATTTGCACGAGCTCTGCTGTGATTTGGCGTCCCCTGTAGAATATTGGAATGAATAGTATATATAGTTGTAAGGGCAAAATTTACATTTATAACAAGACTTTTATACTTATTGACAATCTCACCTTTATGATTTTTTTTAATTACATATTTTACTTAACTCTAACCTCAGTTGGACAGCCCATTCTACATTCTACTCTTTGGATTTAAAGCTAATATGTCTCTGATATATATTTGATACAACATGACGCGATAGTGTAATAATTTTTAAAAAAAATTGCTTTATTTAAAATGCTGAATATGAAAAGTTATTAATCTTATTCATCTTTATACAAATCTTGCACGGAAACATCTAATTATAGGTAGTAAATTGTAAAATAATTTCCCGCAGCATACAAAATATATAAGAAAATGCGGAAATAAATAACCCAGACAAACAATGCAAATATTATATGCAATATTTATGTTTTGGTATTTTTGTGCTTAGTGTGCATGCATAAAAAGTATTTTTGTGTTACATCTATATCGATTTCGAGCACTCATATAACAAGTAATTAGAAAAAGGATAGAAAATGTATGTGTAGATTTTGATTAAGTCAATGTGGGTCATAGCGATAGATATGAAAAATTGGAATGTTTTATTGAACAACTTAAAAAAAGGAATTGATAAAGTTTATCGTTAGTCTTTGATGAGTTGAATTGTACAATTGAATAGATTTACACTAAATATTTTAAACAATTCTCTATTTTTCATGAAGTTTATGATATAAAATATAAAAACACAAAATGGTAGACAAATCAATATTTAATACGGGGAAAAAATCTTCTAAGGAGATTTAGATTGTATTAATTGTGAAAGTTTACCTTCAGGAGTAATGTAGAAAGTTGTCATAAACGATCCATAATCATTGGCTACCCTCACAGTATAATAACCAAATTCTTCTTCTTCTAGGTTTGTCTTTTTCAAATGCACAGTAAATGAAGAAATATTTTCACTTGTGCTGGTCGTTTGAAAATCACTGGACAAAGGAACTTCCGGTGAGGTACTTGTTTGTCGGAAGCTCCATTGAAAAGATGGAGTAGGGTATGAGAGATAATTTGCTGAGATTTCTAGCTTGTTATTTACCGGAACAGCAACTCGTAGAAAGTATAAGCCATCCAGGGATCTTGGTCCACCTTCAATCGAAATTAATTTATTTTAAACAACCAGAGGAACTTAAGTTTAGAAATATTTCAACAATATTTTTACCGATGATTCAGTAGGTAAGTATACAAATGAAAATAATACATTTAAAATATTGTATTGTGAATATCTTGAAATTATGACTAATATAGATTATGTGCATTGTCAAGCAGTTTTTCAGCTCAAATTTATTTCATATTCTAAAATTAAATTCTTTCTTTTGATTTAGAAATTTTATATTATAGTAAATCCTTTTATCAAAATAAGTTAACATACAGTTAATATATATATGTATCGGATCCGATGCAGTATACCCTAAAGTATTTTTTGCTGTACATATATACGGCGCTGTATAAAAACATCCAGCTGATTTTTCTGTGAAGTTCAAGATGTTGATAAAGGAACTACTGCTGACGACAGTCTTATTGGTATTCTGATTCCAGATGGATATGTTTGTGAAACCTGGGCTATCGACAGAGCAAATCACTGAAAAGGGCGCTGATTCGTTGACTGCTGGTACGCCTTGAATTTTAAAAACTCGAATTCTAGGTACATCTGTGATAAACGAAATAGATCTTAAAAAATTTAGAACAGAACTAAAGACAGACATATCTCTTTATCAAAACATTTTGTAATATGTCTCTAATGATAAATGTAATTGATTTTTTAAATATTAACAGCTTACATTGCACCTTTAACCTCTGAGATGACTGAAGTCCAGTAGGCACAACAGAGTTATTTGCCATACATATTATGTTCTTTTCGTTGTCCTCTTTGTTGACTGTAATGTTTAACATTGTTTTCACAGTGTAAGTTTGAGTTAAAGGGTCGATCATAGTGGAAACGTAAGTTGATTTTAAGTACGTTCCCCGGAATATCCACCAGAGTGAGGCAGGAGGACGTCCCCCAGAGGATGAGCACGTGACCATTATCTGAGTGTTCTCCTTTGTTAATGGAATCTGAGAAATTTCCGGGATATCCGGTCTTACTGACAATGAATGAAAGAGTTAAAATCAGTGTATTAATTGTAAAGCTTTGTGTAAAGAGAATATTCTGATATGCAGCATATATTTGTGTCACACTCTTGGGATGACTTTTGTCTTTGAGTTTCCTGAGATATATCGAATAAGAATCATTGATTATACCTCGTCATTATATCTGAATGATGAATTAAAGGCAACAAAGTAAACTCGCATTTTCTGGGGTAAAAAAATTGAACACATTTTATATGTGAATACAAAGTAAGACTACGAAAAGAGAGACACAATTAGTACACATGGAAAAATTCCAAGAGATTGTTCAAAGACTTGAATACTAAACTGCTTCAAAATTTTGATATTATCTGATGCAAATGAGGAGCATGTATAACTTTTTCATAAACTGAGAAAATGTTTGATCTTAATCAATGACTGATATTAATCTTACACGGTACCAATTTTGATGCATCGTATGCTCATTTCGACATATTATGTCTGTTCAACGATGCTAATGACGAAACCTCAGAAATCCAAAATATTTGAATTTAAAAAAAAACTGTAAAAAGATATGCCAAAGGTTGGAGTCAAATACATGGAACGGTCAGATCTGTTCATGTGAAAGATAACCCTTCATTGAAACTAAATTTTTACCTTTTGTTATACCACAGCGATGAAAAATATTTCAGTATTTTGAAGATAGTACCGGAGTGCTTAGCTCTGGGGTGTAGATTCCCTCGGGGACGTCCACGAACAGAGACTACGACCCATGGGTCATAATGTCAATTGTATACGGTACCTATTTGATGTTTCAGATGATGTTTGAGGTAAATGAAATTCAGTACATGGTACTTACAGTTTAGGAATATCACAACATTTACTCTCATTGGCTTTGATAAAGCTGGATTGTATGCAGTGCATGTGTAGTTCTGTAGATCATCGTCTCTTGTAAGAATAAAGCTGTATACTGTCTTATTAATACCACTAGATAATAATGCAGATCCTTTATACCAAGAAACGTTGGCTGGAGGATCACCGCCCGGCGACTTACATGATAGATTCGAAGGAGAGCCCTCTGTTCCATTGACTCTTAAGGTACCATTTACATTGTAGGAGTCAATGTCTATGCTGGAGGGAGGCACTATAAAAACCCGGTTTAGTAAATACACTTTTAGAATACACAGGGCGTGAGTTTAAACAACTTAAACGTATAAAGAGGTCTGAGGAAATACATTCCTATTTTTGAACTAATAAAATAAATAAAAAACATAATAATCTTGATATTTACAATATAATTTTAGATAAATTTTATGTTGTTGTATGTGAACAACACACGAGTACAGCCCCACGTCCTCTTCTCTGGTGAGTCCTGTTATCTTCAGGTCGTATCCTCCTGTCTCCATGTTCCTTACCACCGAAACACGCTCTCCTCTGGATAAATTAGGGTTTTTCTCCTCATCATAAAAGTAGGTTTTCAAAGAGGGTGGTCCACTCCAACTCGTTCGTCCATCTATGTCCGATGATAATGGGCAAATCAATTTTATTGTTCCTCCCTCCTTTCCATAGATAACAGTTTCACTTGATTGGCTGTAGACTTAAAAGTAGTTTCAATGACACTTAAATGTCTTTAATTTTAATTTTCCATGCATGTAAATATATTCTTTATTTCATATATATATATATATATATATATATATATATATATATATATATATATATATATATATATATATATATATATATATATATATATATATTAAAATCTAATGATATTTGATATTTCCCTGTCATAAAAAGGCGAACTTGGAGCTTATGACTGGTTGGCAGGGGATACTAACACCTCCACTGCACCTCATCCCATCTCTAATATTTTTAGGGTCTGTGATTGATTTGCTCTAAAGTTTGACTGCCAATGATGGGATATCCACGAAACTAGACAATTATTACTTATATTTACATTTATAAGTGATGTAAAATTGTTAATACGAATAAAGATATGCTCTCTCGTAGTTTGAGGGAAAGAATTGATAATCTATGATAACGAATGGGCAATGCCTTATAAGAGATTGTCAATCCGAAAAACGGATTACATAATTCGAGAACTCAGTTTACTTATTTATGCATTTTTGAAAATCCCCATGTCCTTCATGGCTCTCGAATGTATTAAAATTGATTTCATGGTTTTCACTTGATTATATTGTTGGTTTAAATAATATGAGACACGGTTTTAAATTCTGTCATTAAGAATAAGTATGTCAGCTTTTTTTTCATTTTAACATATAAAAAAAATCATATAAATGAAGGTCATATAAAATACAGATAAGGGTGTGGTGCACATGGTTTTAAAAATCCATACATTGACTGTGTCCCAGTTTTTCATTTAAATAAATATCAGACAAAAGTTGCGTGTTAAAAATTCAATAAAAATATTTCTCTCTTAAAGAGATCATCAAACCTTCCACTATCCTTAGATGTATGAAATCTATTATTCGATACTTTTCATGTCACTTTTTTTATAACAGAGGTTAAAAACAGGATACATTGAAACAAACATCAGTTGAAAAGTGTACCTACCAAAATGCAATCCAGAAAGTTGAAGAAAAAACAACAATATAAAGTAAGGGAAAGACAATGATTCATATACAACCTTATCCATTTTCACGTTTTCACGAAATACTTCCTTGAGTTTATTTATGGTGACTGTGTGAGGGTGTGTTGAATAAGTGGGAAAAATGCATTCACTTAGCACACACCACAAGTTGTCTATTTTCTAACGTCACACGAACAATTTATTGCCACAAAACAAAGAGACGTGTTTATTTTTATTTTGAGGTAGAAATAACGCTCTTAGATACTTTTATTAACTAGAGACACAAATATGAAAATACTAGATTAACTAAAAAACTTAAGTATACAATTGAAAAAATGACTATTTTGTTGAATAATAGTTAGAGAACTGTCCATATCTTAATTATAAGTGCGTGGGTTGGTTCCTTGACTGTTTAGGGAGGAATGAAGGGAAAGCCGAGTGTATCAATGCTTCAATGAAATTCTCGAGTTTAGGTTGGGCTTATCTAACTTCTTAAAAAAAAAGAAGAAGAAACTAGACGCTGCCTAAAAGAGTCACTTGGACGTTATCATCCATGCGCAAAAGGCGATTCCACACGTGATATAAAAAGTCATATTTTGTTAATTTGACCATTTATCCATTTGCAAATTGCAAGGTTTATTTCGTTAGTTTTTCTTTTTACAAGTTCTATTGTTTCTCAGATGGAAATGAATATTTGATTTTGTTAAACCTTTGCAAATTTGTTCCTATACAAATCTAGACAAAAGAATCTGACATTTCTAATATTTTACTTAGCGGGCATTACAAAAAAATCGATGTTGCACCGCTCAGTGAGATGTTTAAACGCTTGGTGAGATGTTGCACCGCTCACATCATTGAATGGGCGGACCTTAAATTTCATTTCATTTTTGGTCTTCCAAAGTCACGGACCTGAGGTTTCCTCATGGAAGAAGAAAATACAGTCATGTTTGTAAAAAAAAAATTAAAATGAAAGGTATAATAAAACATTTTTTCACTATGTTCTCGGGCAAAAATGCGTTTTGTCGCCTAAAGACTCAGGCAGACAGTTTGGTTCTTGGGTCCGACAAAACAGATGTTGCTCTCAAACTCAATATATGTATAAGAATAAATAATTGATGTAGGTAACGTACAATATGTAAGTATATGTTACATATTCGCAAATCGTCTTATCTATGACGTATATTGTATTTATCTAAAAAGTAAAATTATTTTCTACAAAAAATGCAAGGGGTTCGGTGAAAATATTAAAGTAAAATTAGAAATGAAATGTTAAAATCAGGCACTCAATAATATTCACAGGTAAAAGAAAAGTGAATACTGATAACCAACATTTATTCGCGACGACCTTATTCATCAATTAACCAGGAATAAAAAATGTTTGCAACGATTAATTTTCGCGATCAAGCCTTTTCGCATAATTTATGTTGTTAATAGAGACATACCCTTAAAGGACCGGTTTGTGGCGAGACTATAGCGAACGTCGCAAATTTTTTTGGCAGGGGAATAAAAGTTGGTTTAGAGTTCATGTATATTAATGTACTAATGCATCCCGTGTTGTATGAATACATTTCTTTTCATTTATGTTCGAATCCAATAAGATTTCTAGTTGTAATCAAGCAGAGCCATAGAATTTTTTTTTACATAAATTTGTAATGCAATTTCCTGAAAGAGTAATCGATAAAGAATTATCTTGAATTATAAATTCTCATATATTTAGAACCTCGATTTTTTACATTAGAAAGAATAATCCACCATGCGACAATCCCCTGGCATGGACAAATAATTTTTCCATGTTAATGTGAAATTGCTTCCTCATATCGCTATCTATCAAGATATCACATGATCTGATACTTTGTAGCCCTTATAACTTGAAGCTACCATGACTAGAAAGTGGCATTTCGAACAGCAAGTTTCAAAACCATATGCCTTAATTACTATCAAATTGATCGATTGATTTTGTAATATGACGCCGAGTAACTGAAGAGCTATTACAACTGTAATTGGAATTTTAAACGACAAGCATATTTAGAGAATCTTCAGTATAATGCCTTTTTAGCGAAGAGTTATTTTATCAATTCTGTGTTGTCTTGAAAGGTAACAATAACGACAAATTAAAGAATGAATTATAAAGCGATATATATTTATTTCAACCATGTAAGCATCATCGTTAAAATGCCTATTTATGTCTTAACACATTTCTTTTTATTAACAAGGATAACAACACGTCGTTTCCACAACTTCCTGGTTAATGTTCCGTGATAAGAGGTTGGATGTAGGTAAATTATCATGTGTGAACGAGCCACTGACCTTGGAAAGTATAAGAATTAAAGAATATCTTTCTAGAAATTCATACGAAGAGCCCATTAAATCGTGCTTTTGATTTTAATGAAGTAGTTTGGCTTTGATGCATATCACATATTGAGGAACGACACATTCATTCAATTTTGTTTGAAAATTTCAATTTTCAAGGCTTGTATTTTTTTTTTTACCGCTACATGTATTTTAAAATTTTCGTCATGTTCTATGTCTTGTTCCTTGCTATTGATATGTTAAATTAATAATATAAGTAACAATAATAATCTACATGTGAAATACATATCAGCTAAAAAAAAAAACAAATATTTACCAACGGATGATATACGCTAGACAAAATTGCTAACGCACCACCTGAGATAATTTATATTTTACTGTTTAAAACGTGTTTTTGATGTATTTGATATATAAATATGTTACTTTAACAAAAAATAAGGCATATTATTGTTAAACCTTATAAAAAAAACTACAATGTTTACTAAAATGTGACTAATTCATAGAAAACAATGAAATCATGTCTAATTCATTTTTGAAGGAATAAAATTCAATTTTCCTTTGTATCTGTGTTCTTTATATTTGTACTTATCAAAAACTCATAAAAAAAAAGTTACACCGTATGCGGCGTTTGGTGTAAAAAGAGCGTGCTAAAGCAGACAGTATGGCGTCTGCAGGGGGTTCCTTTAGAGAAATCTGTAAAAAATGAAAACAATAAAATGCTTTTGAATTTCACTCATGAAAATTTGTTGTAAATAGATTATCAAAAATAAAAATGCTTACTACAGATACCCACGGCTTTAAGTTAGCAGCATGCAATAAGATGAAAATCGTTAAACAGAACTGGGTCAACCGGAAGTTGATAGGATTTGGTATGGACATGAAGGCTCCGGATGATTACTAGGCGATATGATAGTCAATGACTGTTAGTTATTTGATTTATAACTGGAGGACTACTCCTGTTGCAACCTCACAACCACCTATACTGATCAAGAATTTCATATCTTGGCAAAAATGTGCAGTGCACAGCCGAAAATTGCTTTACTGGTACGAAGGTCATTCAAGTGTCTTTTCATGATACAAAGATATTTGTCAATCCCACTGTTTTGGAATAAATTGTATATTATATACAGATACGCAATTGTTCAATTCAAAAATAAGAATTAACAAGTACTGCGTTAGCAATTTTAGCTAGTGTATTTTATTTAAATTTTAAACTCGGGAGTACCATGAAATTACATTACCTGAGTCCGGAAGTATCGTGCAAACAAAACCCTATTACGGAAGTACCACTGAAACAATATTTTATTTCTTAATTTCTTTTTAACAATTTCTAGAGTTTTATTTGTGAATATTTTTGACTTAGAAATGAATTATCATGAGAAGATTTAAAACT